TTGGCTTTTTTTTCTTTGTTTATTTTGTTTTCCTTAATTATTTTTTTTCCCCTGCTTTTTTTTTTTTTTTTTGTGCTTTCCCCCTACCCTCCCTTTTTTTTTTTTTCCGCATCCCTTTATTTTTAGCTGGCGGCCCCGGCGCCCGCCGAGGAGCCGGTGCGGCGGTGGCGATGCAGAAATCAGGTCTGAAATGTTCGGAAAGTGATGCAGGGAAGAGGGGGGGGGGGCTAAGCGCCGGCATTTTAATTTTTTTTTTCCTCCTCGTAATTTCTTTTAATTTTTAAATGCATGCAATGTACGCCAAGGTTTGTGGTTTGGGGTTTTTTTTTTAGGTTGCTTTTTTTTTTTTCCCCCCTGCTTCTAAATAGCATGCTTCCTTCTAATCTAATCTCCCCCCATTCCTTGTGCAGTGACACAGGAATTCATTGCAGCCCCGTTGCCTTTCTCGGGGGGTATCCAGGCACTTCCCACAAACTTTGGGCAGAGGCTCAACTCCCGCCTGGGCACACGGCGGTGGTCGTGCCCGCTGCCCCTCACCCTGCCTGGGCTGCAGCAGAGCCTGGGTGCGGGCAGCACCGGAGGGATGCTGGAGCCCACGCCTCGCTCCATCCCTCGGCAGAAAAAGCCCCCACGGGAGCCGTGCGCCAGCCTCGACCCACCATGCAGCACCGCAGAGGCGTCAGTGGGGTGCTGAGACACCCCCCCCCCTCACCCAGCTCAGGGGGACCCACTGGGTGGCCCCCTGCATCACCCACCCCAGCCAGGCTCCCGTGGGGCTGCTCACGGGTCTCTGGTGGGTGCCGGTGCCCGTGCCACCGGGAACGCACACACAGACGCGCCTGGTCCTCCCGTGAGAAGTTCCCCGGTGGGATGGCGAAGCGTTGCCGGAGTCGCTCCGGCTTCCTCTGCCGAGAAAGTCACGCTGATGATCTAGAGTATAAAATGGAGGAGGGAAATGCCTGGTGGCTGCTGGGGACGGCGGAGCAGGGAGGAAACGTGCCGCCCGCAAGAGCCGCAGGTTCACGCCGTGCCTGGGACGCTGCCGGCGTGGGGCCCGAGGCAGCCCGTGGGGTGGGGGGCCAGCAGCGCCTGGGGGTGGCTGCCCACGGCCACCTCCTGGTCCCCTCCCGGGGTGGCCACTGGGAGCCATGCCGGGGCTTTGACCCCGGGACTGTGTGTCCCCCCCCCTCCACCTCGCCGTGCAGGTGTGGCGGTGCTCGGGTTTGGCAAGGAGCCCCGTGTGGGACAAAAAAACTGCCCCTGCGCATCCACGGCCCCCCCCCGGGTGACATGGAGCAGGGCTGAAGAGATGCCACCCCAGCACCGTGCTTTATGGGGTGATCCCTTCCAGCCCCCCCCGCAGCCCTTAGGGCTTCAGCCTCCTCCTGCCCTGGGCGGGGGGGGATGTCAGTGACCCCAAGGGCTGCAGGGGACAGCACAGGGAGCTGGTGGCAGATGGAATGAGATGGAATGTCCCTACCCCCCCCCCCCCATTGCTGGGTCACAGCGTTGTGGGCAGCCTTGGTGCAGCCATTTTGGGGAACGGGCGGGTTCCCAAGGAGTTACCGTCACCCCGAGTGGCTTTAGGATACCGCAGGGTGCAATGGTAGGTCGTTTCGTCGACCGACCCTGCAGCAAAATGGGTGGTATCGAGGTTGTCACCCGGCAGGAGGGGGCGATGGGGAGGATGGGTGCTCCCTGGGGAGTTCCTGCGGTTCCGCCAGCCCACGCTGAGACCCGCGGTGGATCTTTCACGAACCGCATCCATCCACCCCCACGCACCAAAATACAGATGACGGCTCCCGGGTGCGCTGGGTTTTGCTGATGGGAACGGCTCGCCCGGGTGCTGAGCGGAGGGTTTCTGGTCCCGGGCTCAAAGGGCACCAGCAGAAACGAGCCCCGTGGGGTGACAAAGGCAGAAACTTCAGCCCAACTCCTGCATTTAATCCCTCGGCGGCACAGGGACTGGCTAGTGGTGCTTTAGGGATGTTACAGCTGCTAGGCCGTGCCTCTTTCAGCAAAATTCATCTTAAACTGATGCCTGGCTCTTTCTCCCCTCTTTTCCAGATCAAAAATGACTGTCAAAGCTGTAAAAATGCCGTGCACTGCTCCAAATGTTTATACTAAAGTGCCTGACGGAGGATGGGGTTGGACAATTGCTTTTGCTTTCTTCTTTGTGGAGGCTCTAACATATGGCATTATAAAATCGTTTGGCGTCTTTTTTAATGACCTGATGGAAAGCTTTGACGAAACCAACAGCAGAATATCCTGGATAATATCCATATGTGTGTTTGTACAGACCTTCACAGGTAAGAGTAGCAAGCGTTCAGCACGAGTGCAAGGGGCAGTCATACTGCTGACTCAGCATACGAGGACCTGGTACCTGTGGCTTTTATGTCTCTAATGGTTCTGTTATAAATAACAGCCATAAAGCCCAGAGGCTGCGTGCTCCTGAAATACCAAGAAATGTCTGTCTCAGCCCGGCAGTCCCTTTGAGCCCCAACTTGTGTCCTTCTGCATGGTAGAGGGACACGGTCTGTGTCGCCGAGCCTGGCCCAGCCGTTCAGCTCTCATCAGCAAGGGGTGAAAACAAGAGTTTTGCAACCGAACTCTGTAGTGAAAAGGATTAGAAATAACTTGAGCCGCACTGAAATCCACTGGTGTCTGCGGATGTTGCTGCAGGTTTGTCCCAGGCTGCCACGCACCCATCTTAGTCTCTTCTGATGATTTTTTTTTTTTATTTAGCACATCCTAAATGCCGTGAGCTGTGCAATGCTCCAAGGATGGCTCCAGGGTGATGTTCTGTTGCATGAGGCCAGCTGGCAGGGGAGGTGGCATGTCACGGGGACCTGGGCAGGGGGACAAGAAGAGCCTCTGAAGGAGATGGTAGCTGGTGAAGTTGCTGACTTTGGGTGTTGACCATGGCTCTCTTCCTCTCCCACCCATCCAGCTCCTCTGTCAACGGTCCTCAGCAATCGCTTTGGTCACCGCTTTGTGGTGATGGCTGGAGGGGTGCTGATCAGCACCGGCATGGTCATTGCCTCCTTCGCCCGCACCGTTGTGGACATGTATGTCTCCATTGGCGTCATCTCTGGTGAGTCGTCTTACTCCTGTACCTGCTGAATGCTTCGCTCTCTCCTGCGGCTTCCCGCAAGCGTGGTTCTGGCTGGGGGGGTTTTACTCCCCACAACACTGGGAGTGCTTGAGAAATGCTGCTGCCCCTTCTGAGCTGACCTTGCCCTCCTGGTAGAGGTGATGAAGGCTCAAGGCTTGGCTTTCTGCCCTGTTGTCACCTTGGGGACCACCTTGGGACTTGGTCCTGCAGACCACTGCGCTAGTGCAGCTGTACTGATTGCTTCTGATTGGGATCGCTGGGGAGATGAAAGCTGTTCACGGCATCAGATACTCTAACCTCTCTCTATCTCTTTTTTTTTTCTTTTTTTTTTTCTGATACTTTTTCCCCCTCTGCAGTCTGGCCTGGGTGTCCTGCTCACATCCATGGCTGGGAGCTTGCCTTGCTTAGGGGAGTAATTGCTACAGGCTCAAACTCTTTAAGCAGATGAGGTCCTCAAACTGGACCCCACTGGCTGTTGGGGAACAGAAGGCATTATCTAGCAGGTTTGGGGGGTTGGGTCTCTTGTTTTGGTTTTTCTTTAATTTTTTTTATTTCCCCCCCTCCAATTTTAAAAAAAAATAACATTCTGGTTTCCCCAATGATTTTCTTCCAGGGTGACTTGCTGAGTTGGCCGAAATGCTACTGTAATCTCGCCACTGGGAAAGCTGACTTAACGTGTTCTTGCATCGGTGTTTCCCCCTCCCTTACTTGTTGTTATGGCAATTTTTGGCATTTATTCACAGGCCTTGGATACTGCCTCTCTTTCCTCCCGACTGTCACCATTTTATCACAGTATTTTGACAAAAGACGTTCGCTGGTCACAGCAGTGGCATCTACAGGGGAATGTTTTGCTGTCTTCTCCTTTGCACCAGGTACAGTGCCCCAACGCTGTGAGTTCATATGCACATGCCTAAAGCACAAGGCTGCTCTGATCCTTTTCCCAAGCAAATGGGAGGCAAAGGCCAGTGATATCAAGTTGGTGCTCGTGGACCTTCCCATGAGCTGCTAAAGCCCACAGGTGGTTGCTCACATGCCCGTGGCACTCCTGCCCTGCAGGCAGGTTTACAAGTAATCCTAGATTCTGGTCTAACGATGCCTGAGCCCTGGAGCAGGACGTGCCTTGCTGATACGCAGCCCGCCGGGTTCCCTATATAGATCTAGCAGGCTAAAAATAAGACCGAGAAACTTCAGCTATTTAAAACACACACAGTACACATAACTGCTCCTAAAGGTTAGTGGGCTTGCGCTTAGCATGGGCTGCTGAGCTGCTCCAGCCTTTTGGGGACCTGTCCCCAGGCAGCGTGTCCCTGTCATCACCTGTCTGCTGCAGTTCAGGTGGTCTTCTGCTGTGCATGCTTGCTTTCAGGTAATACCCATTGCAAAGCTGCTTTGTTTGCAAGTGAAGGCTCGTAATTAGGCGGTGACATGCACCTTTGAGTAGAGCTAAAAGACTTCCTCCAGCAGCTGGTTTCAGGGTGGGGTTGGCTGAGAGAGGAAACTCAAATGTTGAGTTTGCTTTCGTTCACTAAAAATAACACCACCTTCATCCTTGGGCATCCCAAACTCGCTGGGACCTCAAAAGCAGCTACCTAGAGGGTAGCTTCTGCTAGCCAGATGTTAAATGCAACTTCTAGCTCTTGTCCGCTGCAGCTGATGGGAGGAACGTGGATGCCAGACCCCTGGGTGGCCCTGGGCAGGAGGGACCCCTGCTCAGCCTCTGCAAGAGCTGAGGTGCTTGGGACCTTCCAGGGATGAAGCTTTAGTTACTTCCCTAGCTGTAAATTCAAATAGCTCCTTGGTGTAACTCCAGGCTTTTCTAGTTACGCTTTCTTCTTCTGCCCTCTTCCCTCAGCAATTACTGCTTTGAAGGAGCAGATTGGCTGGAGATACAGCCTCCTTTCTGTTGGGGTGCTACAGCTAAGCATCGTCGTCTGTGGATCACTGCTGCGACCCATTATCATCAAAGAGCAAGAAGAAGTGAAAGTGCAGCCTCCAGAAGAGCCCACGGAGACAAAGTATATGCTTGAAAACGAGCAAACGCGCACCTCAATAGAGTCCATAGACTCAGGAGTAGAAATAACTACCTCACCCAGCAATGTGCCTGGAAACACCAAAGCAGAGCCGAAAAGTGACGAACCAAAGGAACATGTACAGATACTTGTTGAAAATAACAGCACCCCTCCAGAACCAAAAACCAAACTACTGGACTTCTCTGTGATGAGAGACTATAGCTTTATCTGTTATGCATTCTTTGGCCTGTTCGCTACCCTGGGCTTCTTCGCTCCTTCCCTCTACATCATTCCCCTGAGTCTCAGCCTTGGCATCAGCAAAGACCACTCTGCATACATACTGTCAGCCATGGCAATCGCAGAGGTCTTTGGAAGAATTTCAGCTGGCTGGGTTCTCAACAAAAAGCCTATCCGCAAGATCTACATCGAACTCATCTGTGTTGTTCTGCTGTCTGTAGCGCTGTTTGCCTTCCCTTTTGCCTCTGAATTCTGGGGCTTGATGACATGTAGCATATTTTTTGGGTTCATGCTTGGAACGGTAGCGGGCACGCACATTCCCCTCCTGGCAGAAGACGACGTGGTTGGCATTGCAAAAATGTCTTCTGCGGCTGGAGTCTACGTCTTCATTCAAAGCTTAGCTGGGTTGGCTGGACCACCCCTTGCAGGTAACTCTAAAACTTTCATCTTGGGGGGTTTTTTTTGGTATGTTTGACAGCTATTGGTGCTGATCTCTGTCTAGAAAGTGTTCCGGCAGCGCTAATCATAGTACTATCCTAAAAGCCCTGCAACTAGTATTGGGAAGCTCTCGGAGCCAGAAGACTGCTGCAATGCAGCTCTGCAGAGTCCCACAGATGAGGCAGTCTCCACTGAGGAACCTCAGAGTGAAGGAAAATACTGCAGTGCTACCCTGCTCCTGTTAGAAGCCTAAAACTGGCATCACTTCAGGCTCTAGTGAACAGCAGAAACGAATCGCTTTCACTGTGCATGTGTTTCTGCCATACGCTGCAGAAAGGTGAAGTCTCTATCCTAATAAAGAGATGCCTGATGCATCTCAAGCTTAGTGTCCCTGCCGTGCCCAAAGGGTTCTGACTTGCCTGAAGATGACACTCCACACCCCTGAACACGATGTTTTTACTTTTTTAAGGTAGTATCTGTTTGCCATTGAGTATCTCTTGATTGCAAATAAAATGATGCAGTGGTACCGGGATTAAAAATCCTCTAGGAGGGATGGATGGGCAAGGGAGAGGGGGAGTCGGTTGTGGCTAACTGCTGTAAATGGGTTTTCCGTAGGTGTCTTAGTGGATACGACACAGAACTACAGCTCAGCCTTTTACTCCTGTGCTGCTGGCATGGTCCTGGGTGCTGTGTTTCTGTCCCTGGTGAGACCGTGCAAGGTTGGGCTGTGCCACCGCCAGCAGCAGTGCGCAGAGGAGAGCGCGGCGGAGGTCGTACCAGACTTACCAGATGACTTTATTGAAATGGATATTGGAAAAGCAGAAAATTCAGGAAAAGGCTGTGACGGTGTGGCATAAAAAAAAAAGCTGTTCCTTCTCCATGTAATGTACTCAGCGTAAGACTTGGGAAAACATCAGCTCTGCTCCATGTTTTAAAACTACATTCTAAAGGGAATGTGAAATTTTAAATGTGAACAGTTGCTACCAACAACTTTTTAATTATTAGAAAGAACTTTTTTAACCAACAATGGAAAGCTCCATAGAAAATACAGATAGCCACATAAGAATAACTTCTGTCTAGCATGAAGATGTGATGCACACTCCTGCTTTCCTGATAACAAGCATAGGTAAAGGTTCAACTGATCCCAGAAAAAACTGCAAACAGCAACAGCAGAAGCAGCTCAGCCTCTGACTGTCCTTACCCATCCCCTACCACAAATTCCACGCAGACAAGAAACTGATGATACGAACTGGAGATGAGCATTTCCAACTGAATCTTCTTCTGGAAGAACATGGACTCATCTTTTAGACTTGAGGAGGACACTAGGCTAGATAGCTGACTTAAACCATTGCTAATGTTCTTCTAATTAACTTGAACATCACAAATGCTGGGAAATTGGAGGCTCCATATGTCTTTATGGCCAGTTATTACTGCACATATTTCATAAGATCATTTTTCTTCTCCCAATTGGTATCCTTAGAACTGTTTTCTATTGATAGTCAGATCTGATGTACTGTTTCTAATTTAACTAGTATTTATTAATTTATTCTAAGATAGGAGGTTAGCTTAAATAACTGGAGAGGAAAAATAATCTTTTGCATAATGGAAAGCTGTCTTTACATCAATCTCTTCAATACCTATCTTGTATTGCTAGCTTGTGAAATTGTTGGGAAACTTACTCTTACAGCATAGAGTGTAGCTGTTTTTAATAGGTAGGTCTTAGGTAACCCAGTTGTTATTTAAAAAGGAAAAAAAAAAACAACCCCAACCGACAGATCCAGCATCTCCTTCCATAAGGGCCTCAGCTGGTGTCAATGGACCTAGCTCTGCTGCCGTAACCGGCCCACCCTGCAGGGAGGATTTGGCCCAGTATGTCTTAATGTACCCAAAACCTTCACTTACAGGTGCACAAGGAAATCTTTGCCCCATCACTGCATGAACGTGGAAACCCCTGTGTTACCCAGCCCCGCGCAGTCTGCTCCCCGCATCTGCCAACCCCAGGGGCACAGGGTGGCTGGTCTGAGCTGTACCCCCTTCCCCAGCTCTCCCTGTTCCCCCAAAGTCAGCAAGAGGGGTTTTTTGGGGGGGTTTTGGTTTTTTGGTTTTTTGGTTTTTTTTGCTGCTGACTTCAGTGAGACATGAACTGGAGCCTGTGCACAGTGAAGGGAATGATAAAAGACAACATACTAGCTGTTCATTTAGTCTTAATGGGAGAGATTCCTACTCACGGTGACACAAGCTTGCTTACCCCACCTATATGCATCTTAACGCCTCTAGGCAACTCAGGGGGACAAATAAAACAAGTCTGTTTTGGTTTGGAAAAAAGCCAAACCAACATTTCTGTGTATTTAAGTGGAAGTGGCATCATACATTAACTGCTATGCTGACCTGTCTGTATTTTACCAGCCATAGAAATGTGGGACAATCTGCAAAAAAAACAAAACAAAAAAACCAACCACAAAACAAACACACCTCTTTTTAGGAAGGTGCTTGATTTGTTTTTTTTTTTTTGTGCCAAAAAAAAAAAAAAAAAAAAAAAAAAAGAAAGAAAGGAAACAGGCATTCTTGCAACCAAGTGGCTAGAGCAATTCATCCTCACTGCCCGAGACCTGCGGTCTCGTGTCCTTCCTCTGCCTCAGCACTTTATCACGGCCAGCAGAACCTCGCTGTGTTGCACCCAGGACTGGAAGACCCCTTACAGAAAACTAGAGTTTTGTGAATCGGTGAGTAAATGAACAAATAACGATGTTGCATTAAGATGTACTTTTTATTTATTGTTAATTTATGATACTTCAAGCATTTTGGTAAATGTTCTGTAGACTATAATTGTAAGATTATTGAAGTCTTTGTGATACGAGACCTCACTACAGCACTTTGCTATTACAACTCTGCTTGGAAGTGGAATAAGGCCTCCAGGTTTTGCGTGTGTGTGGAAGCTCCCTGTTCTGCAGATTTGCGAGGTTCTACTGTAATTTAATTATTATTTTTTTTTACAACAATTTCCAATACAGATCAAATAATATGTTTGTCACTGACCTCACAGTACGTTTCTTTTCCTGTCTGTGTCGCGGCACGAGCAGGGGAGCGAGTGAGTATGTGTGTGTGCGGGCGCAGAAGACCCAGAAGCAGGCTTTAATGTGTTCAAAGCAGGATTTACTGATTTGTTTGTAATGTACCTAGTGGACTCTGGAAATACTCTAAAACACTGAGTTTTGCAATAAACTTTTTTTTTCCTTTTTTTTCTCTTTTTTTTTTTTTTTAAATAAAGAAAGTGAAGAAACTTTTCTCCTCTCCCTCTTCTCCATCCCTAGGATGAGGCTGCGTCAGCCTTCATCCCTCCCGCAGGGTTGTTGCAGGGTCTGGCCACTACTTCCCTTCCCTGAAGGGCTCTCGGCAGCGTGGCTGTCACATGCCGGTTCCTCAGCCTGAAGTAGCGTGTTTACCCTGCGAATTGGGCAATCTTATGCTCTTTTAAATGAGTTGCTTGGAAGCTGGTAGATTAGAGCTGACCTCAAGGGTACTCTTGCAAACCCTTACCCGGGGAGGCCTGATTAGAAGGAGCCTTTTCTTCTTCTGAGTGGTAACTGAATTGGTGGCACTTAGGAACATTATCCTCGTGTCTTCAAGAAGCACGCAATCATGTAATTATTTTATCATCTCTGAATTGCTGAATACTTTCTCCGTGCCAGGCTAGGCGGCTCATGTATCAGAAATCAAGCTACTAAATAGCAGGATAGTCGCACTAAAGGGCAATTTTCTCTCCTTCAAATCTTCTTTCTTTTTATACCAGCTGAGATACGCCCTTCCCAGCTTAGCCCATAACTCCTAGCATCACCAAACCCTACAAGAAGTAATGCTGCCATGCTGCTTAATTCCAAATATCAATGCATGTATTAGATTTGCAAATGAACTACTTGTTGAAGGAATCATCGTGCCACTGATACGTATTAAGTGTAATTTGTTTTCATTTTGGTTGCAGAAGTCCTAGAAAAGAGGTGATTGTGCATGCAAGTGGCGCAGACTTAATGCAAATACCAAAGTCCCAGGAAGCTGATCTGTCTCCAAATTTGACTGGCTCAATTACAGCAGCAAACAAACATTATTTGCAACAGCTTCCTCAAAAACATGCTTTCCCCCCCCAAAAAAAAGCACATTACAAAGGCTGCACACTGTTCACATAAATAAAAGCACATAAAACTGTAACATTATCAGATGTCTCCCTGCACAGCAACAACTTTGAGTAATTTTTCCCTCCTGGTTTAAATTAATTGCCCTAGAACAAAATAGGGTAAGAATACTTATTTTTATTCAGTAGCATTGTATATCTACTTTGTACCAGTAAATAAGAGGGCAACGTGGGGCAGAACTCACTTCTGCAAGCCTTGGTATTCCTCTCAAAAGTGCTTGTATAAACTCTTGTAGTCAATGAGGCTGGTGCCAGCCAAATGTAAATAAGGAAATTACACAAGGTCAGCTTGCAGAAGCACAAAAAGCCCTCAGACTGTAGGTATCTATACTTTCTAAAGCAGAAAGGAAGCTGTACAGTGGGTTTGTTTGTTGTTTTGGGGTCTTTAAAAAAAACAAAAACACAACAAAACCATTTTTCCATTTAGAATTAAAAGGAAGGGCAACCTCTTGTTCTTTTTCACTTATTTTAGATAAGCTGACATCATGTACTTAAGGGGACAAATGAATCTTTAAGAATAGCTAGATTGGTTTTGGCAAAAAGTAAAGTAGGTGCTTACAAAACAGCTCAAATGTTTTAACGCTTCCCTTCAGATGTTACTTGTTAGCATCTGAGATCATCATTTTCCAGCTGCCCGTAGTAAACATGACCTGAATTTTCACAGTGATGCAAGCCCAAGCAGCAGCCTTCCTCCCTCCCTCTTTAAAGCTCATCTTCAAGATGCTTCACAGGTGGGGTTTAGGGAAAGATCCCTTTAACTTCTGGCGTGGTTTAAAGGCTGAGAGAGAAAGCACTGCTGCCCAGAAGAGTTATTCTATACTTGATGTCCCCACCAAAAGACGGGACCCCTGGTTCCCACGGGCATACCGTACTGGCAATGCGCGGGAAAGGCTCCCGGGCATCCCACGATGCCGTCAGTTTGAGAAGCCGGTTTGTAGCTGCGATGCATGCTTGCCTCCCGCCAAACCAGGCGACCTCTGAGGATCCTGGCAGCAAAACACAGAGTTTTCCCCTCCCTGGTTTCACTCACATGGACTTTTACTTGCAGGATTTGCAAATTCGTGGCTTCGCTAGCATAAAGCTCGCTCTTGCAAATTGCAGTAAGTATTCGAATAAATCAAATGCAAACCCCCACCCTCCTTCCTACTGCCGTTGTCAAGCTCCAGTTACAACAATTTGTGGTAAAATATTACTCACCAGCCCTTTGGCCCGTGTGAGCAGCTCTGCCTCTGTAAAGACAGCCCCCTAAATCACTGCTTTGTCACAGAAGCCACAAGCATAACCAAAAGACTTATTACACGCAGACATTATGAGAATAAGGCCGACGAGACAATAGTTTCCCTCGCTTCCTTTTTGTCAAAGCTTTCATTAATGTCGTGAACGTCTTTTTCTACTTTATCCGCTGCCGGCTGCTTGCCGCAGTCAGCCTGGCAGAGGAATGGCCCAAACCAGCCCCAAAGAGCCTCAGCAGCAGCGAGACCGAATCGGGCGACGGCAAAGCGGGGTGCTGAGCATCACCCTGTGCGAACTGCTCTCCCCAGCAACGCTGGTACCCACCGTCCTGCCTCTCCGCTCCGCTAATTCGCTTTAATCTCCACCAGCTTGCGCTTGTGCTGTGGGAAGTTATCAAAATTAGGCGTTTTAAGCACTTCAAGCACATCAAGGCTTTTGCATTTTGCTGTTGGTGTGGCTGGTTCGGTTGTTGGTTTTTTTTTCAGATGT